AAAAATGTTATAATTTTAAGTAATTTTAACAACATTTTTAAGTTTGTGTAAAGACGGTAAATAAATTATTGTATTAATAAACACAAACATGACGCAATTAAGATATAAAATATTAAAATAGTTTGTGTATGGACTTGAAGAATAAATATATGTATGTATATGTTTATGCCTGGTATGGGAAACCCAAAACTGGCGAACACCAATATCACAACGCCAGTGAACACGTGACCCACAAACGTCTTTTCTAGACATGCATACATTCGGATCTGCTCCGATCAAAACTCCTCGCATCCATTTAACTGCTGTCCGCTGCGTCTCAGAACTAGATCCAACATATATATAGCATGAAATCATTTGGAAGAAGACCAGTATACATGGAAATCGGACGATGCCCTAAGCCGTTGCTTCGTGCCCACAAATCTGTAGGAGCTTTTCCTTTATTCTGCTGGCAACACTGAACATTCAGGAGCAGTGTCCTGCGTAACATTATCTTCCCAGGAGAGTATCTGGAGTATCCTACGTGGAGTACCGAGTCCTGCAGTGCACATGGGATAGAATGCTATTAGAAAATTCTAATAGAAAATTGGAACTTTTGTCTGAATCTGGTGTGGCCTTTACGAGAAGCGACCAAGTTGTGTTATGCGGATTCAATTCTTCTATCTGTTTACGTTGCAGATTTCATTCATATGTCTGTATTCCCGAGAGAGAAAAAAAAAATGATTCCATTGTAGTTCCCACGTCACGCCGAAAACATTTACCTCAGATTTAAGTTATGGACATGAGTTCAAATCGTGCCGCTCAGACAAAAAATCGACGAAAAATATCTGTCGACCCTGAGGATAATTATGGCCGGTTAAGTCAATACCAGAAGTAGTATAATAGTAATCAAAAGCTTGCAAGTAAACTACACCTCACATCAGTTCATATCAAATCCCTTTTTATATAAAATCCATTTTAATATTATTAAACCGTATGGGCGTAGACAATCCATGCGATCTCTGGTTGGATGGTGGTTTCGTGTCCCACCTTTCGAAAGGCAAAACAAATTTTTAAGTTATTCCTTCCATCATTTCATCCATTAAATCTTACTTAAGTAGTCTTTAAAATACTACAAAGTTCAAGGATTAAATGGAAGTTTGCGAATTTATTTCGGTTTCGTCAAAAAATCTAATTAAAATTTTGCTCAGGTTTCCATATTACTATACTATTATGCTTCGAGTTATGTCCGTAATTCTCAAACAGTTCACTTTGTAAGCAAGTCACTCTAAATTATAGTTCCACACTTGTTCACGAAAAGCTTCATTTTAGAGAGAACTCACCCTTTACTCCTCCTGCAAACGGAAGAGATTTTTTTATCTCAAACACAGGATCCTTCGTCTTCTAACAAACAGATTTTAGTCAAAACAAAAGAAAGGAAGGGAACAAGTTTGTTAGAAAAACAATGCAAGTTACACGGAAAGAACTGACGGTTTAAATACACAAGACTAAATCCCTATTATTCAAACTATTAAAACAATCTATCAAATTATGATCACAATTGCACGAGATACTTTAAAATTTTCTACTTGAAGTCATTGCGAGTTTCCGAAAAACAACAATAAGACTTCCACTAGATGAGATGATAATGTTGCGTCATATTGTGATGATTATAATTGTTTAATTTTAACCGTCTAATCACAATAAAATATTTTATTAAATATTAAAATATTATTACTACAATTAACATTTAATATTTAAAATAATTGTAGTAATAATATTTTAATATTTTAATATTTAATAAAATATTTTATTGTGATTAGACGGTTAAAATTAAACAATTATAATCATCACAATATGACGCAACATTATCATCTCATCTTTTTAATATATTTTAAATATTAAATGTTAATTGTAATAATAATATTTTAATATTTTAATGTTTAATAAAATATTTTATTGTGATTAGACGGTTAAAATTAAACAATTATAAACAATAAGACTTCCACTGTTATAAATTCACAGTATAGGCCTATATCGATATATCCTACATTCCTCAATAAATACGATCAGAGAGACTTATAATATTATCAAGCCAAAGTGTCGATGTCTTAGTCCGTGAGTGTTCTGAAGTATCACGTCCTTCGGTAACAGACCACTGAGAAATATTTAACTTTAGTTAAACCAAATTTCCTTCTGTATTATGTAAAATAACAACACAACTGCAGCGCAGTGTGACTGCGATGTGCAGTTGTTGTATAAAGGCAGTTAATATTCGCAGATATTTGATATGAAACGTGAAAAACTTCGAGGCCCCAGGCTTACCTCATAAATAAAATAACTCTTGAAGATTTCCGTCTTCTGGGTTGACGGAGGCAGTATGACCTCTGAAACGCTGGTTAACATCGACCAGACTACACAGCGCAACAACCCAGAAGACAGAGATCTTCATATTTTTAATCGCCCTGATGATGGAGGCAGTATGACCTCTGAAACGTTGGTTAACATCGACCAGACTACA